AATATATAAAAACTTGAAAATACCCCAAATTTTTCCCAATTTGTAAAACGGTGAAGTCCTCTTAACGGGGGCGTTCTACATCAATTTGCTCAAATTGATTCTGCAAGAGGGTTTCGTTTGCGTTATTTCTTTTAAATGCCCACGTTTAAAGCTCTAAAAACTGTGTATTTTTAAATATCGGAACATTTGTTCCGTACAGCATGTATGAGACAGTTGTACATGAGTTGTAACACTGCCATGACAGTGTTTGTCATGTGGCAAGCTCACAACAAAATAAATGAAAGTGTGTACAATATTTGTGTTCTGGCTTCAAACATACAAGGTTTTGTCGATCAAAATAATTTCGAATGGAGAATTCTTCCGAACAAACGCGTGTTCGTAATACTTCACATCTATTTTCCCCCATCTCACTTACAGTTCAACTCTTGCTCACCGCAGTGCGAAAGTATCCCAACAAATAGTTCAAAAGAGGGCGCCCTTTTCTACGACCTCACGCCACAGACGTATACGTAAATGTGTAAGTCTGTGCCTCAGCCAACTGCACTTTGTTTAGGTGCAAGCCCGTATCTAAATCCTCCAGACCTGTATCAATCAAATATAGACCTGTCAAATTCCAACAAACCTGGCAAAAGTGGTTAATTGTGGTTAAACTGTATCCAAAACAAAAGTATCCTCTGTCTTTTTCCTTCTATGAACATTTTGGCAATCAGAAGCAATAGAGAAAAATTATTGAAATTTGTGGAATCAATCATGTCAAAAACCCAACTACGGACGTTAACATCAGCAGGGAATACGGGTGTTTCACAGTAGTGCGCCTCCAAGAGTTTGCAACGCACTAGCCAATCATAATGCGCGAAGGTTGTCGAACCAATGCGCGTTTGGAAAGGGTTGACAGATTTCGCGCATTGTGATTGGCCAACGCGTTGCAAACTCTTGGAGGCACACTATTGTGAATCGCCCGTATTCCTCCGCAGGTATTCCAGAAGGCTTAGTTTCGGGCAATATTTAACAGAGTCCCCTGAAACGGCGCACTTTGACACTCACTTGACTTTCCTCATACAGTGTTGCCTCACCTATCGTTGAAAAAAAAATCAGATTCATTTGGTAAATGAAATTACTTGGCTACCAAACTAAATCAAGTTCGAGAACATGTAATCGCATGGTGCATTCTTTTGGTTAAGCTACTGGATAGAACTGATAGTAGGTATTAAAACCAGAACCGGATATGCCCACTTTTTTTTTCCAAAATCTGCCATGTTCACTTGTCTGCACTAGTAAGGAGGAAGTCATGGGTTCGAACCCTACTCGAGCAAGCTTGTGATTTATTGCAACTTTCGAGCCACGCTGAGAAAACAGTGCAAATATATACATGGGTGTATGCAAGGTCGAAACCTTGTATAAAACCCACTCGTTGAGTATGAACTGTGTGTCTGTACCATATGTGTTTATGTCCTGTGTATACCTAAATAGACTGATACTTGGTAAAGTCGATGATTTCTATGTGTCCAAAAGTACTATGTGTATTGTATGATTTCACTAGAACTGCATGGTTTTGTCCCATCAAGCAAGTTTGACGACGCCCCAACGAGAAACTTCTACATTGACTACAGGAATGTTGTAGAGGGGGCTTTTTCGTTCAGAATCTTTAATTTCGGTTTTCTTCAAGTTGCAAGAAGTCGACGTTTAACGTATAGCAGTTCTGATTCCAAGTGGTCGACCTCGCACTGCACATCTAATTCAAAATAATTCCAGTCTACTGATGTACAGCTGCAAAATTATTTATTGTATTTATCGCGTTCACAATAGTGCTTTCATTTTTATCCTTTTATGTCACTAAACGCAACGGTGAACTTTAGATGCATCAAACAAATCGATATTGGTTGATTGATTGGTAATAAAGAAAGTTATGCCTCTTTCACTTTTGTCCTTTTTAGTTTCAATTCTACCTTTAACATCGTGTGCTGTGATTCACTAAATGATTAATTCTTTGCCGTATACTTTTAATTGAACATTTTTGTAGAATGACTGTGACAAGTATTTTCATTAGAGTGGGATAGTTTCTAAAGCGAAAGATTTTAAATTCTTAATTTTATCATTTTAATGAGCGAAAACTCATCTCGCCTTTATCCCTTTTTCCATACTAGTTTTCAAATTGGTTTTTTATATATAAATTGTCGTTTATTTTGCCTGTTGTTTTTTATTTATTTGTGGGTTTTGTTTGTTTGGTTTTGTTATTTGAGGGTGTTTTCGTGTGGTTTCCTTTCTTCTTTGCTCTTGGTTTTAAAACTTAACGACTGAATTTCCTCGTTTTCAGATTTTGTTTCTGGTCTTATGATGATACAGAGTACCGATACAACTTTATTTAATTACGAAATGAATAGGGAGATTTTTTTCCAGTCAAAATACTTTCTTTGGTAACATCATTACTAAATCGCTATTATACCCAAAGTCCAATCTGTTTCGTTCCCCGCACTCGATTACCGTAATGTCTTGAACCCGTTACATCATTGTGCTTAACCCTTTGATTCATCTTACTTCCTCTTCGTCCTTTTTTTCACCCGTGTCTGATACGTGCATAACCACACTTTTACATCATTAGCCATGCGCGGCTCTACTCACCGTATCCATAGAAACCTTGTTCCATAGTTGTCTGCGTATTCATTTCTGCTCATACGATATCAGTCTTCGCTGCTCGTGTTTGCCCCGTGTGTGAGCGTGTTTGCCATAAGCAGAACAGCGCAGAGAGGACGAGTGCACTAAATTAGAAGAGATGCGATCGTTTCGCATTGGGAAATCACGTGCATGCTGCCAAGCGCATGAGAACTGGAATGAAGACTGAGGTGTGGAGGACTCTCTTCCCTCTGCTTCGAGGTAAGACGGTGTGGGTTTTGTCGTCTGAACAAACATTAAACTCACGTCTGATATGATGTCTTTTTAGCCTTTTCTGTGCTTCGGCTGTATAAGATCGTCCTCAAAGGTCGCCCAGGTAGCCAACAAAGATGAAAGGTTGAATACCAGAGACACTCAAATCTTCATGAGCGCACCGTTTTTGATACAAGGAATAATACCGGTAGTTTGACATTATCTGGATTCACCAGTCTGATAGATAACTCTACAATAAACTGTAGGTTTCTCGGATCTCCGATTTGAGTTTGGGCACAAGTGAGCGCCCTTTGATCACCGGTCGACACAAAACTGCCGCCATTTTGATACTGGCTTCCTGCCATTAACTGCTGGGATATCATCTTTACAGTTTACTGAGGAACGCTGAATGGACGCCGCCAACACCTGGCCTAATTGCCTACGGTGAAAGGGTCCATTGTCAACGACAGCGCACCGTCGCGTTGTGACGCCCAAAGCGCGCAGCTATTTGTTGTCGCTTTGCGACGAGGAATTTTGAACAGGTGGTATCAGCGTTGCTGCGACCCTGTTCAATGATCTCCAGCCAGTCCTTTTCAGTGGAAAAATCCATTGCTGTTAATTGTTCCCCACACGACATTTGGAATTTCCAGCCAGGGAAAGAAGACGAATCTTGACACAGTTCCAGTGTAGCCTCTTGCAAGTTTTATCTTGGAATTCTGTCAGCGCTGACATGGTGTGAGGTTCAGAGATTGGCCGATAAGGCTGAGTGTAAGGACGGTGCTTCGGGGAGAAGAGAGGCCCCCCTCGGCACTCCATCATCTGAGCAGATAAGACAACGTTGCAACCGTCCAAGCAGCTCGAGTTGTCTCAACTGGTTACATGGGTGATAATTTGCATTTCTCACTCTGTGGACATTTTCAGGCGACGGGCTGCTTGGGTAAGTACATACCAGTCATCGTAATATTAAATCTATTTTCGTTTCTCTGTAAGATGAGGTACACGTCTTTTGGTATTTAACAGACGATAAACAGAATTCCACGCTATCAAAAGCCACGCCCAACAGGAGTGCTGTATACCGCATTACATCATCGTTTGACTTCCACTGTATAGAAAATGCTTCGTTATTTACTTGGGCAGGCAGAAGCCTTTCCAATTATGTCATTTTCTCGCAGTCTTATTGGCTGACTACATCAGCGTCGAGATAACGAGTGATATAATTACACCATACATCTTGTTAACAACTGACATCTCCCACGTCTTATAACATTTTCCAACAATGGACGGCTTTGTTGGGGGGCTTATATGGATGAAACGCCAATTTCCGTTGATGCTCCTTTGATCAAGTGATGTGAATCGCTTTATGGACGGGCTTTAAGGATGGCATCGTCATAGATTCAACGAATACGGCAGGCTAGGAAGCTCAATGTTTCTGTTCTTGAATGTGTTACTGACGTCAATTTATCTTTTAATACATTTCAAGAAGGTGTGGGCTGAATAGAAATTGCAATACAGCCCTCTGCAAAGGACCTCTTCAAAATTCTATTTTCGCGGTCACCTTAAAGCCATGTTCGTCCATCCCGGTGCTCGAGTGAACAACGGCTGCCATTTTGTCTGAAGACAACTTAAAATCAAACTGCACACTCAGGCTTGACAAAAGACTAGTCAGTAAGAGGTTTGAAGAGCACGATCCGAAGATGATTATCAGTGATAACGGCACTTGCAGGCATGTGCGCATGCGCAGAGACCAGTCTGGATCGGTTCTTGAGTGCCGTGTGACAAGACGGCTTCTAGCATTACAAACTGAACATGGAAAGACGTCGACTGTATTTCCACAAGACTAAGTCTTCGCGAGGAAAACATTACAAACTGCAGTCGTGTGCATGATGACATCTACAGTGACGTCTGCTCTGGCAGGGTCCTTTTGTAACGATTTTCTATGTTGGAAGGCAACGTACGGTGGCCCTGAAGAGACGTAAAACTCACGACTATTCGCGAATATTTTTCACGACTTCTTGTAAATATTTTGCGACGTCGCGACTAAATTTACTAGTCTCAAACTTTGTCACGAATTTTTTCCAGAAACTTGAAGGAGTCGATATTTGCCCGACCTGGACGCCAAAGGCTTTTTAAGGCCTTCTAGAGCTACAGCTAAATTCAAGAGACATGTATGTCCTTACCAGGAACCAGCCATGTGGAAAGCAAACCTTGTTTTTCTTAGTTCTGTCTTGCCCAATGCTCTTTTCCTTTCTCAGTACACAGCTTCACTGTTCACTTGGCATTGCATGTGGACAACCATGCAATAGTACACGCGCACGGTAACTGCACCGCTGTACATGCGTCTAACATTATGTATTTGCTGTTTGTTATTAGCGCACTTACCTAAAAAGCTAATGGAAAAATATTCGCGACTAGCAGTGACAAAAATGTACGACATCGCGAAAATATTCACGACTTGTCGTGAATAAATTCACGACGTCGCAAAAAAATTCGCGACTACTCGTACATTTTATGTCCCTTCAGGGCCCCCGTAGCTACGGCAAAGTGCGTGTGTGGTTAAACAGGATGCTGCCAATTGGCACCGGCAATCGTGATACCGTCCTCTCACAACACAAAACAAATACACGGTGCAGGTACCCGTCCAGCTTAAGTCTACACTACCTGTCATTTCCGTAATTGCAAATGCAATAAACAAATCGGATAAAATTTCTGTATTTCGTCTGGTTGGGTTGGTCCTTGGTATTCACTGCAACAGGGTTGTTGACATTTTTCATTCAATTACAGGGGAGCACTGCGCAGGCAAATACCTTGCAGTGAGAGCAAGGGCCCAGCATATGGAATTCCATATCTGCCGTTGCCCGTCGTCCGTCGCCTCTTGCTTTTTGTTGTGTCCCAATTCTGCCATTTTCCAGTTCCATATATGCCATTTTCCGTGGCATCCGTCGTCTGTCGTTGGTCGTCCGTCACTGGCGCGTCGCCAGTCGTGCGCGCGTTGCCCGTCGTGTGTCGCCCGTCGCTTTTATTGGAGGGGGTCACGCTTGCGCAGTGGTATTTTTCACTTTGACCCTTGATCTTTTCACATACTTCTTCGATCGATCCCCCAGCGTAATTTTTTTTCCTAGGAAGGTAAGGAGTAATTATAATAAAATGGGCGTAACTTAACCGTTGCGCATGCGTTTTTCCATCAAGGAAGGTTGGGGGCAATTATCATAATGGGGTACATGAACTTTTAAGTATAAAACACAACAAAATTGCCTTTCTGACCGACTTGCATTGTGGCTCTGTTAGAAGAACAAGCCAAAGGTTTGAGTTTACACGTACATGTAATAACTTTTTGTGGGGAATTAGTTGGTGGGAGGATGTTTTTATAATAAGAAAGTAAAGCCCGACATTTACCTTTGCACTTAGGTTTCTAAGTGTCCACTTAATCAAGCTTGCAGTTAACCACGCTCGTATTTGATAATTACCCCGTAACCTTGCTAGAAAAAAATACGCTTTCCGCCGTGCCTGACACTCATTTAGCCTAGAAGATAATATATTCGATTCTCCAGTTGCGCCGTACTCCACTTGGAAAAAGCAAAATCCTTCTTTTTTTGAAGAATGGCATCGGTAAATTAACGTGTATCGGAAAGAGGTTCTGTCACAATGCATGTATTTTGACAGATATTATTAGATATAGGCACATAGTCCTATGTGCACTGCCCTAGATAGCTGTCACACTTCCTGGCAGATGTTACACATTTTGCACCAAGCCCAACTGTAAAATCTGTACTGCCTTGTGTGGTTATATTCATGGTTCCAGAAAGCTGCCACAGATCCCCACAAATCTGCACCAGTTTGCATTCAAATGGCCCCCTTTTCTTGCAGTTATGACAGTTTGTAAATTGGGGGTTTCACAAAAGGTGAATTCTGAGAAGATTCAGGCACTAATTAATCATAAAGTGGGCCAATCACAGTTAATCAGCCAATCACTGCCCATTCTTCTGACCAATCACAGTTAATCAGCCAATCACTGCCCATTCCTCTGACAAATCACAGTCCATTGTTTCAGCCAATCAGGCAAGGGGTCAGATTACTTCTGTCAGGCAATGCTAGTTTAGGCGGGAAATCTATGTGAGGATCATTTTGTCGGAGCTTGTTGGTCAAGCTGGGACAATTTGCCCAGCACCTGCCTTTTTAAGAATATTTGGTTTAAGTGGCATTTTTTAACAGGATTCCAAGATTCCTTATACATACAAGATGTGACATGTATCTTAACTGTTATGATAAATTGTACCAATGATATTATTGTTGACAATGATGTTTGCCATAATACACTGTAATTTGTAAGGGGTCAGCCCCACCCTCTTATGTACCCAAGGGGGTGGGGTGCTGTATGTTCCAAAGCACAACCAGCGCTGACCCCAAAAGGTTGGATGGATCATTTTATTATTTCATAATTATTTCTGGGGCCTGGGAGCCCATTCATTAATGATTGGGCCCGTAAGCCAAATGACAATGGATGTACATGTACATCGGACCTGGGAGTCCTTTGTTTGTTTGATGTATGATTTGGGCTTACCAGCCCATATGACTGATACCAGCTTGCCCAAAACAGATTCGGTATCTGGCAAAATAATAAATAATAGATGATTTGGCAAGAGACAGAAAGTAATTTGTCTTGAAGTTTGTTCATTTGTGAGTCCGAGTGTAATAACTATATTATGTTAAATAAAAATAAACAAAATGGACTTATACTAGGGTAGATTGTATTCTTTAATTGATAACTTAGTTACTCTAGACGTAACTTTATTCGTTGACGATGGCGGACGACGCATGACGGGCGACGGCAGATATGGAATTCCATACCAGCCAGCTGATAAGAGTCTGCAAACGGGAGTGGTGAGAATGTTCATTAGCGCTTCGAGCTCATTTCGCCGTATAGAGGTTTAAAACAAAACAGAGAAACGGGCGTTTATGCCCGTAAGCGCAAGCAGGATAGTTTACCACAATAATACATGACCGTGTATGTATATCAAGGTGTTTGTAACTTCAAAGAAAGAAGGTCGTAAATGTGCCATTGTGGCCATTTTCTACGCAAGTAAAAAGACACCACAGCAAGTTTACAATTTTGCTCGGGAGTATCTGTTTCTTTGATCCTGACATCTCAGGCACGGTGTAAATAATAACATGCATAGAAAAGGGTGTGGATTTACCAGCTTACACCCTGCAAATTGCTGAGGTAAAACATCGCCGCAATAGTAGACGAACTTTGGAACATTCGCTTAATATGATTGACAATTATTTCCAAGTTTTTATGATTGTCTGTGTTTACTATTACACGCCATCGTATATGGACAAAATGTTGGGGGCAATTCCGCTGATAGCTTAAAGCAGCTATTTGATCCACAGGAAAGATGGAGATAATACACAATTTGAGTAGTGATCAGACCTTGGGCTTTTCGCAACGAGAATGTACTCAGAACGCGTCGTGCAGTCGCCTAAAAAATTGAGTTACGCCAGTCCAATGTTTTCGATTCGACTCGACTTCGATTTTCCTTTTCCCTGGAGGAGGCAGAATCTATGTCCCCAGTGGGAGGGAGTTTTGACGTTCTTCTGAATCTCATTTTCTTCTGAATCTCATTCTATGAGGCCTGATGTAACCATGGAAACAGCAATTAAAATACACCATGGTTTTTGGTTTCACCAATATATAACAGAGACACATATCGCAACTCTCTGTATATACCTGCTGCTATAAACGGCTCTGGCTGTATTGGTACATGTACATGGTGCATGCGCATCCTCGTGCTTCACAACTTGTCAGGTTTGGACAAGAAGTTTACGTAATGCATGTATTATTCATGCAGTTTTACATTACAGTGCATTTTAAAATGGTCTTAAAAATAGTAAGTCTCTTATTCCGAATTTCACTGGGCCTCAAAACCCTCCCACTTTCGA